ATTTAAATAAAATAGTTGTGATACTTATAGCTACAAATGAGTGGTGAGGAAAGTGATAATTGGGTCACTTCAGCCACAATAATTGTCACTTATTATAACAGACAATAATTAATAGTGGTAATTCAAGCAATAAAGATTATTCTAGTAATTCAATCATAATGCTCATAAACAAATGGAATTGAAATGGTTATTTGTGATAGGCCGCAAAAATATAATGAACCGGAAAAATGCTATCCAAAAATTCCAGATAATAATAAAGTACCGATTAATATTGATAATATAATAATAAGGAGGCCCAAAAACGTTTCTACACAGGATAATTAAACTGAGTATAAGTGATATAGATATTTATTAGATATATTCTTGAGAAATAAAACCTCCAGATTTTCTTTCCATACGACGACTACAAATGGAGGTTTTCTGGAGCAATTGGACACCTAAATATTATCTATCGTATTCTGGAAGTGACTAAAGGCTTCCTGGAGGAATTGTACATTTAACCTTCGTGCAATGCATAGAGGTCTGTTTTCAAGTTAAATTTAAGTTCGCACCGGTTAAACTGCGTAATCAACTTTGGAATATAAAATATCTAGAACAAAAGGAACTAGAAAAAATTATAACTATGGGGTTAACTTAATAGACAGAGTTGAAATTTTTTCTAGAGGGATCACATTTTCACCAGTCTACCAGATATTGATTTTTATAAGACAGGAGATGTAGAATCCAACTTTTAATTAAAGTTAAAAGTAAGAAATCAAGTAGTTTTGATAACGTTCCTACAAGTCTGTTAATACGAGTTGTTCCAGTTCATCTAAAAGAATTTACTTTTTTGAATAATTTATCATTTAAAACTGGCGCTTTTTCTCATAGCTTAAGAGAGTAAGGGTGTTCTACTTCATAAAAAAGATAAAACAAATGATTCCGACAATTATATGATCAAAATAGCAATTTCTGACAAACTTATATTCTACTTAAACTTCTTAGAAAAAAATTCTATTATCCACTTTTATGATCTAACGAAAGCATCTGTTACAAAAAATTCATGGAACAATTGAAGAGTTATGGAATTCGTGGTATGGTTTTACAATAGTACATTTTTTTAAACGACCGTTTACAATTTGTTTTTCGAAAATACTTCTTCTTCTACAGAATCCAAAATCTGAATCACTAAGATTAATAATGGGGACACCCCAAGGCTCTATTTTAGGGCCTGTTCTATTTATTGTATATATTAATGATTTGTGCATTAATACTCAACCAAATGAGCTTCTTCCACTATATGCGTTCAGTACAAATTTTCTTTATTTGAATAAAGAATGTGCATAAAATCAATATAAAGTTTTCAAAACTAACCAAATAACTATACGACATAAATATGTAGGTACGCAACAAAAGATTTTATATTTCCGTTAAAAAATAATGTAAAATTTCTCCGATGGTGTTAGGTATGTAAATGGACAACACCCTACCAAATGAATTCAAATTAATTCCCGCTTTCGGGCTCTTTAAATTTAAACTGATTTATCTTGTCGATGAATGTTTATACAGTGTACGTGATTTTATTATGCGACCTTTTTATGTGTTCTACATACATACATGTTTTTTTATTCTGACGATTTCTATACTTACTTATTTGTATATCTTTGGAAATAATGTTATACTCTGGAAAATTAAACTAAAATTAAATCAAGAAAAAATTTCGCGACAGTAAAATTAGAAAAATTTATTGTGCCTTAACGATGAAACGAAAACTCGCTGGCGCCATAGGAAACTGAATTCAGAATTACAGTGATTTGTATTTTCAACGTAAATTTTGCTTCATAGTGTGGTCACATCAACTAACAAAATGTCCTAACGTAGACAAAAAAGAAAAACTAATTCCGTTTAATTATTTTATGTCCATCGCACCAAATACACTCCGAATAATAACAAGAGCCACACATACTATTCAAATGAATATTGATATTTACACAACATTAACGCAACGTAATTGATGTTATATTGCTGATACATCAAGGCATTAAGTAGATTTAAGTCTTGCGCAATTTTTTTGACATTGAAATGTAACAAAAACCTTGTTTAACCATAAACGCTTATAAATTGTTCCACACCGCATTGTCTTTACTTTGCATAGAAAGAACATCATGTTTTAAGCTAAAACGACGATATTTTAATTCAGTTTCAAAATTCCAGAATCGCCTTTTTTGAATATATGTTTCTGAATTAATACATCTTACATAACACATACAAATATAAATTTAGCAGAATACCACAATAAGACATATTAAATTTATTTATAACATTCATTGCCTAAAATTATGTGTATAATTTGTTGACAAGTAGATAAATGAATAGTTGATTTCTTGTTACACTAGAACTATTTATGTTACGAATATCAAAACAAATATTTTCTGTTGACTCCACAAACACAAGAGGCAATATAAGGCAGTAATTTACTTCGTGTGTAATGCATACAACAATTACTTACTGTATTAAAATGTATGTCGAGAGAAAAAACAACTCCCAATGATTGGCGTGACAAAAACTGTTTTTGAATTAATTAATGAATTAAAAAGTGTGGTACGTTTTTATCTGCAAAACGTGATTGTATAAATTTATCACCTAATTTACTTTAAAAATGAACTTCCCGAAAATTGTTTTTTATTTGTTTCATAATTTTTTGGATTTTTTAATAGATAACGTTATTTAAAAGCATAAAAACGCTTTAACGTAAAAAATGTTATCTAAGATTGTTGTCCCATTTTTCGTCACAACGTTACAACTTAAATAATATATAAAAAATTACAAAATCATAATTTCAATATATTAATATTAACTATATTACTTTCATTAAAAAAATCAATTGCCTGTTAGATAAAAGTATATAGAAATAAACCTCCAGCTGTTGTTTTAAAAAATCACGTTCACTCGATTCGAACGTCCATTCGACTATTTGAATGACAAATTTTGTCAATAAAATCACGCCATTTATTACATTATATATGTTCAAACGAGACGTGCGTGTTGATAATATTGACCACTTTCAGATTAATGGACAAATTGAGTAAGTATATTTATTCTGTAAGTTTCTAATACAAGCGTTCATGCACGTATAAATTTTCAACGTCGAGAAAGGTAATCAGGAAATCGAATTTATGCCTTAAAAGTAGTTTTCAAGCTACCTTTTATAGTTATGATTAGTTTTGTAAAAGTTTTTATAAAATATAATAGTAGTAAATAACATACAATTTTTACGTGGGGAGTTTGTTTATCAACTTTATCAACCATGGAATCAAATTTTTGAGTTAAAGTATCGATTAAATTAACGCCGTGAAGGGAGAAATTGCGGTAATTTTATTCAATTTCATTTAATAACTGAAATTTAATGACTGGTACTCAAGTAATAATTATGGTGGATGCGCCGGGCAAAATATGATTCCGGGTAAAAATTAATTCTTTATTGCTTCGAATATTAAATCTTTTAGAAACCAATTTCTCAGAATGTAAACAGCAATATTTTAAACATGATTAAAATTAAGTCAAATTTATTAAACCTCCTGTTGCGTTTCCTGTCAGAGCACACAACAAATCAATTCCAGATATTACGACGATATTCCCCTGAATTTTATTATCAAATAAAACGATAAAGTAGAAAATTAAAGTTGAAATCAAGATTACCTCACGTAAAATTTATCACGTGGAGTTTACTTTTTCCTGTTTTCATCAAAGACGTTAATTTTCTTGATAACATCAAATCCAAATAGGAAATCCCATTAGCGCCGGTACACCAATTTACAGTAAACCCGCTGGAAAGACTCTTTATCAAGCGTATTGTATGGGTGAAGTAACTTTGAAGAGCTTTTACAAAGCTGTCAGTAATCACCTAAACCCTCAACGCTCCCACAAATTTCGTGAATTCAGACTCTTCATCCCATTAAAAATATAATTGCAAAAATAAAATTTGATTAATTATCCCTTTTCGGTACACTTTGACTATCCTCATTAAGAAATCGTTTCCATGGAAATATCAATTAAGGGTCAGAAAAGTAAAATAATTAGGCTTCAAATTGCAAATAATCTTCCCCAAAATCATTTCTAACTGTGCTCCGTGCCGCGGAATTTCTCGTTCATTATTTGGAATCGTGCCTAATCCTACCATCAGAAATGTGTTTCCAGATGTTATTATTATTCAGTGTTTCACGTAATATTTGGCGCTTTTTCAAGTTTTTTTATTTATACAGTGCTGGAATTCACAACACATATGATAGCAGTAAATATCATCAAATATTTGAATTCGTAATGGGCATACTTGTTGGAACTCTATTACGAATTTATAAGTTATTATAACAGAGTGCTACACGTGTTTCAGTACTCAGTTTCTTCATCAAGGAAATGTACGTATAACTAGAGCCGAAATATCTATTTAGGTAATTGACACAGAAATTTCAAGGAATTGAAACTATGACTTTAAAAGTACGTTCCTGGTAGGGGATTCTACCTGCTACCAGTACAGGCCCATTTAGGCTTTCTTTATACACTTGTTACCGTCTTTGATTCCACAGAGTAACAAAATTTCAATGAATCGTTTCAGTATCGCTCAAGAATAAAATAAACCAACCAGTCACCATCTACTATTATTTTTCCTTCACTGAAAGTAAAATAATTAGACTTGAAATAACAGTAACCCCCGCAAAACCAGGTCTAATTGTGCTCCGGGAGGCGAAATTTTCTCGTTCATTATTTGGAATCGTGCCTAATCCTACTATCGGAAATATATTTCCAACCGTTATTATTATTCATCGGGGTAGCACGGCCTAAGTTATTTGCTACCTTATTATTTTGATCACAAAATCTCCTCGACAGGTTTACATATTCATAGCGTTTATTTGCTTTGCGCAAAGTAATTGAATAATTTACCAAGAACGAGGAAAAAGCCCGATTGGCTAGGCCAGGATCGTGTTTGTGACAGAGGGTTTTAATTACCCCTCTCATGCACTCACCGTTGTGGTGGGCCACCCCCAGATCTTGCAACAGGGTGGCGGCGAGGTCTGCTTTTTGTCTTGCCGATTCGAAGCGCGCCGTTGCTAAAGGTACGCTTAACGATCGGAATTTCTCGGTGACACAGAGCGACCCCAGACTGTTCGTCGCCACGTCGTGAATGGCCTGCAGACTCTCTTCTAGGTCTTCCTGAAAACGAAGAAGCATTCGGTTTTGGTATTTTTCTACAAAGACACACGAAATGTTTACATTCAAGGAGCGCACCCGGAAAATATTTTTTTTTATGATTTGTTGCTGATGATTATTTAAAATACTTGAATTCTCTTTGGGAAAAAATCATTTGACCCTATCTTATGGCCATATAATCGTAAAGAAATCCTCTAGGAGATGGTAAGGTTGTTCCGACGCTTGAGAAAAATTCACATTTTTGTGTGCAAACTTTGACAATAATCTACAATGTTCATACCATATGATGAAAAGGAATGTTTAATATGTGAGATCGTACACAACAATTTGCTCCACGTAGCAGAAACAGTTTCAGAATCGTTGAACAATCAATAAATAAAGACAACACTATAAAGATAAATCGTCAAACATAAATCTACGTTTTCCTGACAGCGTTAATCCAAAAACACAACTGTTTTTGAACACTCTCAGTTCTTTAGATGTCAACAGAACAAAAAGGGAACCAAAAATTTAAAAAATATTATTAACTTACGAATATCATTGAACTCAGAGCAAGATCTCAAATAATATTATTAATATGAAATAAATGATATATGTATATCTAAGGTAAATCACAAAATTGTTTATCTAGCGCTTTTTAAATTATAAAATATAAAAATTTGTTTAATTTGAGCAGAAATCTCTGCATGTTTACATTTGATTAATGTTTTTTTGGTAGATGGCTCATTTTTTAATGGCTACAGTTATCTTGATGTTAGTGTGTAAACTGTTGTGTCCCGAAAATTTTTCCCAAAACTGTCAAACCATTCTTAATACAATTCACCAACTAAATCATTTTATATACCTACGTATGTATGTCGGTGCGCAAAAACTCCCAGAAGGGTCACCAAACTCACTAAACTAGAGTCTACATAATGCCAACGTGGTTGGTGAAACGCGTCGGCAAATATTTTGTGTTTCCGGTGTTGTGAGGATAAACTTTATATTATTACAGAGCACCGAGGGATCAAAAAGATTCCTTTTTTAAGTGCAACACTTTTTTATTTTTGGATGCAGAATAAAAAACATACTCAATTTTGAAACGCTTGTTTTAGGGATTATTTAAATTTTGTTTTAAAAAATAACTGATGATCCTACAATGCCGAATTATGAAACAAGTTGATTATTTTATTTTGTGACTGTAATAACAATAATAACGTTTACTTTAGATACATCCTAATGCATTTGTCAAAATAAATATACAGACTAGCACCCTTTTCTTGATATCTCATTATTATTCGTAAATTAAAAAAAACAAAAGTTGTAAGGTTCTTTAAGCATCACACACTAGAACTGTAACAAGTATTTAGAGTGTTGTATCTAAGAAATAAAACAAAACTTAATTTTTTCGACATGGACTATCCTACATAATTTTTACTTATCTTGATTGACCACTTCTTAGACTTTATAACCACAGTTTATTCTTGAAGCTTCCGCAGTGGCCTTGTCACATTTTTCAAATTTTCTTGCATTTTTTTAACAGAAGGATTTACAAAAGAAATCGCAATAGGGTATTTTTTTTAACTTTGGTTACAATTTTTTGTGGGAAGATACATAAAAATATACTCTTTATTGTGATGGAAATAAAATTCACGCTTAATAAACAGAATGTTTATGAAAAAATTTAAATTATTACAATTTTCAAATATCAAGATTTCAGTTTTTTCAAATAGAACATCCTGTCCCATTAAAATTCCACAGCCTTACATCTTGAGAACGAATAAAGATGTAGAAGTACTGTAAACGCCATTGTTATTAGCTTAAAGGAGAAAGCTTAAATTACTATGTTGCAAATAAGTCGCACGTAAACCTATATTTTTTTTAAACAGCAAAGTGTATTTTTTAACGGAATTCGATAGCTTTCCCCTTCAAGCTAAAATATTGGTATTTACAGAATTTCAATACTAATAATAATATTACGTTGAAAGGGTATTTAAAATCGGCATGGGTTAAACTCCACAATTTATTTCTTAGTAACTCGAATCTACAGAACCAATTGTAGAGCGATTATGTACAAAATAATTCCGGCGCAACTTGACTAGATTTTCTCGACACTCGTTGCACTCGATTCAACTGAATAATAATCGTTTCTGAAGGTGGCCTCCATTTAAATCCATACTTCTTTCTAGATGTTCGACGATCGGGATCCTTCTGGAATACCCATCGCGAGATCCGTATGCAGGCTTTTCTTTAGCAAACACCGCCCGGGCGCCATCACCGACGATGAGTCATCATTATCATACATATTAGAAACCATAGGCGTCGTACCGGGGCGGCGCATGGGTTTCTTTCGTAAATCATATATATAACATTACTACGATTTCTTTTGTGAATCCTTGCATCGTTAAAAAAAAATTAGAAAACTGGAAATTTCAAAAATGTACAATGGTTATAAAGCCTAGGATGAATAATGAAACTATGTAAAATTAATAGGGTTCAATTAAAAAAAAAGCGTAGTTGTGTGTTATGCCTGAAAAAAAACACTCTCCAGGCTAGGAAAATATGTTTTTATTTAATGTATGCTACTCAAAGAACCGCACAACTTTAGTTGTAGTAAAGTTTTTGTTATATTTCTAATAAATAATATTAAATGAGATATCGAAGACCCCGCGCTTAGAGACCCGCCCTGTATATGAACTAAATAAAGTTATCAAAGTTTTCCTAGAATAATAGTAATGACAGTAAAAAGGGACAGTAAACACATTCCAAGAAAAAAAAAATAAGCATGTAGTTTAGAAAAACAAAGACACGTCATTTAAGTAGTCTTGAAATAAGATGAAAATCGTTTTTCCCTCAATAAACTTTTGCTAAGTAATTTCCTTAAATATTTTAACAATTTTAAAATGTTATGACAGATATCTGCAGTACAAATGTTATAATGTATAATATTTGCCAAACTTTTAATTAAATGTAAGATGTGGAATTCGAAACATCTATCTATAAATGAATAAACTGGGGGAAGTGAGAAGGTTAAGTTTTTTGGATGCAACGCAATGATATATTTATTATTTTTTTATAAATACGTGTTGACATAAAACCATCGACATTCATATTTGTGACTGTGTTTTTTATTTTACATTCTATATATAAGGTATTTAATTAAAAACACTTGTGTACATTTCCGGCTAACTCAGAAGCTTAAATTAATCTAAAAAATTGTCATTTAATTTTTTTCTTCACTAAGCTTAGGTAAAATTTTAAAAAATTCTATTTCAACTAGATACTTAACTGTATGCGTTTCGAAAACTGAAGAAATCTAAATAACGAAGAATTCTACTTCAGGACATATTTTTTGAGTTCATTGACTAATTGTTTCAGCTGTTCCTGATCTAATCAATAAAATTTTGCAATAATAAAGATATAATAATTTATATAATAAATAATTTTTTTTTGAGTCACCATGAATGTAATGAGAAATCAGAAGTATACTCGTAGATTAATCATATTACTCCTACATTTTTCGATCAGATTTATTCGGCAAAATTTTGAGATGACGTCATCAGTTTTTTGGAAAGAGATATATTTTGATTACAAATTTACCACGTTTACGATAAGTTTAAAACGTCTGCAAATTTTCCAAGCATTATGTTTTACAGTTTCTGATTTGATCAGTAAATCGAATGATAAATCAAAAGTATAGACCCATCATATTTTGCTTGTTCAGTTTTTAGGGGAATCGTAAACGGTAAATTTTGATTAACGATTAACCGTGTTTTCCATAACCTTAAAACGTTTTAAAGTTTTCAGAGCATTTGGTTTTGCAATTTCAAAGTTAAATTGTAAAACGTTGTTCTATAATTTTAATTTTTTTACAAAAATCTGAATGCCTAGAATAAAAACTCAAGACCAATTCATAAACTACAATTGGAGGAGTATGTTATTTTATAAAATTTAAATAACATTTACTATGGTAGAAATTGGAGATGACCTCATATCATCATTGGTGGGAATGCTCAAGCGAATTTTGGTTGGACAGACGGCATACGGCAGACAGACAGATGGAAAGGAAATACTTATATTTTCGTATTCTCGGGTCATGAAACATCGAGAAAACATAAAAGTAGCGAGTCGCCCAATGGATTCGATTACAATACTTCCTTAGCTTACGCTCGGAAAGTAAAAACTTAAATTTTCCAATGGAAACTATTTTATTAGGGTAATTCGTGTGTGCAAAACATTTTATGCCCCACATTAAAAATATGTGTCCCTACTTTTTGTAAAGCATGAATTTAAATTAATCGAAAATGAACAAAAAAAAATGCATATTTCACGACATTATTAAGCACTATATATATTTCAAATCAATTAGCTATTTAGTTTCACGTGTGAAACATCTAGAATATAGTTTCCGAGTCTATCTGTTCAATGAAATTGGCGGACAGGTAGACCAACAGACGGAAACGGGAATCCGACACTTTGGTATTTTATGAGCTTCCAAATAAAGAAAGAGAGAAACTGATCGACAAAGTGTAGGTAAAACTTGTGTTTTATTTCAAGTATTTAGTATAATGAATTAAAAAGTAACAATAAATATCAATATTAAGAAACAATAATTATACTTATGTTTTATGACTGCACTAAGAAATTAATTAAGTGTTAGTTGAATGCTATAGTTTCACAGATATAAGTTTAAATCATCTAAATAGAAACATCAATGGATTTTAAATAACGTTAATTCCTATTAAGTTAAAATTAAGGTAGCACGCAACACGCTTTGTTCTAGGCGTCGCGAAAATGTTCAGCGTTAGTTGGAAAACTTAATACTGTCGGATTTGCGCTAGATTATTTATTGATTAGTTCCATAAATAATGTTAGGTTATCTCAAGTTATTTATTAATACATCAACTTAAATTTTCACCTTTTGTTCGACTTTCTGACTTCATGGGAAAGAATTTATACCGGCAAAAATGACTATTAGGTCAAGAAAGTACAGCTTAGAGTCAATTTCACCTTTCCCTGAAATA